GGCAACCTGCAATTCTCTTCTGGTGTTGCGGTTGTTCAAGGGTGGCGGTAGTCACTTAACATCAGGTGAACCGTTCGCTTGTTTGCCCCCTCTTCTATTAAAAAATTCCACCGCCCCACACCAGGCACAATCCTCATAGGCCGATGACCTGAATACAGTATATTCGGAACATTGACATAGGTGAGATTGCCATCTTAGCACGCAAACTGCGTGCTGCTCAGTCCCCTCAGGGCCGTTTCCTTGCATTACAACCTCTTGTGTTCCATCTAAGTCAATATAATGTCAGAGCCTCCTGCTCCCACCATATCCCACGGTCGTATCAAGCCAAGGGCTTATCGGTTCTCTCTTATAATATCCGCGGTTTGCGTAATTACCTCCATGAGCTTAAGCTCTTTCTGTGAGATCGCGAAGCCGACCTCCTCCTCCTCTACCACAACCACCCACCACCTCAAACCCAAGGACCTCAAAGGCCTTTCCATCAATAAGTATCCATCCATCCATTTCCATCAAAAAGTGAATACTTTTACGTGACGACAGACCTGACCTCCAAGGCGACGGTACTGCCATTTACTACAAAAAGTCAAAAAATATGTAAAAATATGGAAACCTCGGTATGGAGGGTAGCCTCAACTGGACATCAGTCCATCATCATAGCCTCCAGTTATATCCCTAGCGGAACCCTCCCCCTTAAGTGCGATTTCCAGGGCATCCTTACATTAGGTAATTCAGTCATTATGTTTGGAGATTTTAACCCTAAGCATAATAAATGGACCTGTCTCACTACTACTAGTAGTGGCAAAGAACTACTTGGTATCACTCAGTATCTCGACCTTACCGTCTACAGCCTCCTCGCTGTCACTCACCATTCCGACGTTGTCGACCATGCCCCTGACGTGCTAGACTTTGCGCCTCCAACTCCTTCTTTCAAAACCTACACCAATTGGAAGGACTTCAGGGAGTACTTAGCCTCAGCTATGGACTCTCCGGACTCCCCCATCACTCTCTCTTTCGACATCCTTGACAGCACCGTAACAGTCGACACTGCGGTCGATACTCTCACCACCCTCATGAAAGAATGAAAGGGTAGTCCAGGTTGCTAATAATAATAGTCTTCCCTAGATATTAGCAACCTCATTAAAGCCAAGAGAGCTGCTCTCCGTAGAGCTGCACTCTATCCCACCCCTGAATGTAGGCATACAGCCAACCGTCTTTAACGTAAAGTCTGTTCACGCCTTTCGGAATTAAGAGGTCTCGAAAAGAGCAATCTCATGCAGAATATCTCCCCCTTACATACATTGTACTACCAGATGGTGAGAGCCCTAGACTATACCTAGAGCACATTGACGTTATCACTCATACTCCCCCTCTCTCTATTACCGACGGCTCTATTGCCTTCGAGGATGATGATTCTTTTTCTTTGCAGACCCTCCTAGCTCACAGCAAACCGACCCCTTCGACATCCAGGCAGTGGAGGATGAAGTCCGCCGCCGGAACTCAACCCCCACTGTCTCCGACCCTCACTGTGTCCAAAGATGAGATTTCATCCATTATCAAAGGACAAAAGTCAAAAAAGGCAGCGAGTGCGAATAGCATCTCCAAAAAAGCCTTAAATATTTTCCGGAGCAGGCGATCACCTTACTGGCTATAGTAGCGTAGGTAGTAGTGTAGGTAACATCTTCATTCTCTTCAGCTACTTTCCCACTTCGTGGAAAGAGGCAACTCTTATTGGCACTCCCAAGCCAGGCCAGCCTCACCATCTCCCCTCCAGTCACCATCACATCTGCCTCCTCAAGGTCATAAACGAACTTTTCGAACGCGTCATCATTAATCGCATGAGGCGCTATCTATTTCCCACAGACGGCAACCCTCTTGTCATCCCCCACCAATTTGGTTTCCGAGTGAAACACTCATGCCCCCAACAAGTTCACCGTATAATATATGTGGAACATATCCGTGGAATATATCCATCCGCGATTTTTATCCTCGTTGTCATAAGATCATTGTGGTCCTTTTCGACATTGCTAAGGCGTTTGATAGAGTCTAGCATGAAGGCTTTTCTACAAACTGCACAATTTGGGCCTCCTCGATCGTCTTGTCCATCTCATGGCCTCCTACTTGAAGGATATGTGGCATACATTTTGTTTCAGACACGAAGGCAAGCTATCTTCCCCGCGTCATGTCAAAGCCGGTATCCTTCTAGGCTACGTGCTTGCCCTCCACTACACACTGTTCACCTACGATATTCCCATCTCGTCCAAAAGTCAGTTAGTTATTTAGGAGCTTGGTTCTAAAAATAGCGACTCGATGTGAACCCGGAGAAGAGCCCCGCCGTTTGCTTCGAAGTTGAACGATGCCGCCCCCTACCATTCCGCCAACCGGATTTTAGGAGCCCCTGTCCCTGTGGAAAGGGTAAGCTCTACAGCATGCTGGACCGACACAGTAAAATGTTTCTTCGCAATAAGCGAAAACTATATAAGGTCTGTATACAACCAGTCATGATATACGCGGCCTCCATTTTTGCTCATGCTAAACCTAGCATCTTAAATGAACTTTAAATTGTTCAAAACCTTTTCTGTCGTCAGACTACGAACGCTCCCTCGTTCGTCCGTAAGCGTAACTATAAGTCTCAGTGAAGGCTATCTCCCCACAACACAAAAATTCCTAAAATCACTCTCTGAAAACTTCTTCAAAACCTCAGAGTCTCACTCAAATCATCTCATTCTTAAGACAGCTTCCTATGCAGCCCCACTTCCCTCTCGCTATCGAGTTCGCAGGCCGAAAAATTCTCTCTCGGACCTCCCCAACAAGCTCTCGACTGACGTGGACTGCCTCCTTGCGGCACAGGTCGAGTCTTCTGCCAATTCGTAAGCTGACTTAGTTAGGCGCGCTTCTCAGCGGCTACTCGCTGCCTTCACTCTCTTTTCCCCAAGGGGGGTCGCTTCCCATACGGCAATAAGACCTTACCAGGTCAAAGCCAGTCCCAGGTGGTGTTTAGTGGGTAGGCACTTAGGTTTCGCAGTGAGTTCCATATAACCACGCAGCCGACTTCGTGGAATGCTTAGAGCATTCACAACCTCCCTCCCCCGCTTCCCGGAGGGTAGCCCTTTCCGCGAAGTGGACTAGCTCCTTGTTTTTTTCGTTCTGCTTGCTGTAGGAGAATATATTTATATTTACTGTAATAACAACTTATTAACGTTACTTAATTTATTCGATTTCAGTAGAACATATTATACAGTTTTGTATATGTTCTGCTCTTTTGATAAAAATGTTTTTTGGAGTTTTACAATTCGACGATGTATTTCTTGTGTGTATGGTTACGCGATATCTTCGTCTATTGTTAACTCATTTTGATGATTCTTTCATTTAAATTAAATATGCAAAACTTCAGAACTGGTTCCATACAAATTGGGATAAGATAATTCCATCCCCAATGATGGTGAAATATGTGATGAATTTTTCTGTTGAGTAAGTAGCTGTTCGGCATTCCGTCTTAGTTTTTGGAGCTGACTGCGCATCTGTTGCTTGCGTCTTCTAGTATCTTCTTTGTTTAATATCGGGTAAAGGTGACCATGGACTGCAGTAGCCACTTACCTGTAACTGTGTGGTGGACTGTAAGTTCGCTTGTAATTTCAGTTTTGTAAAAAAGTTCGTGGGGAGAGAGATAGAAAGAGAGGGAAAGAGAGAGAGAGAGATAATAAGGTTGTAAGTACCATGGCGAGGTAGTGCATGAGGTTCATCCCGGGCCGGTTGGCGCGGATGTCGGGCAGCTTCTGCAGCGAGCCCAGGCGCACGCCCGCCGCACCGCCCGCGTACCCGCCCGCGTTCAGGAAGTTGCCGCGATCAGCGCCAGGCACAGGATCTGCTGCAACCGACCACAAGATCAAGCTACACTTTGCACTGACTATTGTTGTCCCTTTTAGAATCGTTGTGAGTTCAAATGAAATAGTAAAATTATAAAGAGTTTACTTTGCTTCTGGGCGCAAAAAAAAAGCATGCCGCTCACTTATCGGTTAATCACCGCAGTCTACATCATCTGAGGATGCCTCGTGTAGAGGCGAAACACCTGTCGTATTATCGTCGATGGTGTGTCGTTCTTAATGTAGTGGTGTTGGGAGTAGTGGTGCTGGGATTAGTGGTGATGGGATTAGTAAGACACATTATTTTATTTTATTGAGCGGATATGTTCGAGGTAATTCTCACCAACTTTAATAAAGTATACTTTGTATTAGTAGACAATTGCTTTATGTTGAAAACAAAGTGACGGTATCCCATGATTAATCACTGGTGGTCCGGTACAATGCATTTCGCGTTGACGTTACTTGTGGCCATTTCTACGTAATAATCATGAGCGAGGTAACGCTGCTTCTCAATAAATAATGCAATCCCTCATTTACACGAATATGTAACAGCTCCTGAAGATCAGCAATTATCCGAGAACTTCGTTTGAGAGAATTGATGAAATGAGAATTCTCTTTTTCCTAGTGTAGTGTTATGGTAGTAGTGGTACTCGGAAAAGTGGAGACAGGATTTGTGCAAGTAATTGAGGGAGGGCGGGAGGTGCTCTTCAAACTAGGTAAGACACATCATTTTATTTTATTGAGAGGATGTGAGCGAGGTAATTCTTACCAACTTTAAAGTAATGGATTTCCGCAAAGTAACGCCTGATTCTATTAAGAATACTTCAATTTTACTATTTTAAATCACTTAAAACTAATTAATTTTAATTATATACAAAGTTTTGCACTTTTTGCATCCTCCGGGCACAGCCTTCGTAATTTAAATGATATCAAACAAAGGAATTAAAAAAATGTTTTTAATTGGCTAATGTAAATATAAGGACAATCCGTTATATTATTTGAACTTGCTAACGCACCTGTATTTTCATTTCGGCTCTTGCTGTGATAACAGCTTAAATTAATTAATTAATATTTGTTTTAAAATTTACGGTAAAATTATTAATCTATATGTAATTAAGATTATTTATTAGATTTTTCGACAAAATGTTATTACTATTATATTTTTTACTCGTAAATGGCGCTTATGCCAAGCTAGCGATTAATTATGACTCGTTTACGGGAACACCAATAAGCCTGGAAGAGGTGAAAAGAAGAGATGAAAGGAACATAACGTTGTAAGTGTTTGCACTGTTCATTTTATTTAGGTTCAATTAAAGATTGAGAGCCAGTAGATAGTCTCTTGAATTATGTTTTAATGCAATGGATAATTTTAATAACCCGATTCTCTTTGATTCTCTTTAAGACTTGGTAGGAACGATGTAATTATTTTTATTGAATTAAACGATACGTTTTGCTCTTTATTTTTGGTAGATTTATACTTGGAATAAAGTTTAGAACAGTAACGGTATATTGTCGCCCACTCTCGGCAGGTTATTATTATTTAGAGATATTTGTTTTTAAATGACATGTAGATTTTCTCAAGATGTTTTCCTTCATCTTCGAGTACGTGTTAAATCATCACATGAAATGGCAAAATACAAACTGATTGACGCAAGTAAGGAAGTAGGGTCCCCATATAACTTTTATTTCATAGTGATTTCTTATATTTACGCGAACATTGCACATGATTAAAACTACTTTTACGGATTTTATCGCGTTTATTTTTACTTTTTATTTTTAATACCCGACGTTTCGGGCGCTTTCCAGCACCCATGGTCACGGGGGACTGAGATGACTGACGTCCCGATGTCATTGTCACGTCCGTGACCATGGGTGCTGGAAAGCGCCCGAAACGTCGGGTATTAAAAATAAAAGTAAAAATAAACGCGATAAAATCCGTAAAAGTAGTTTTAATCAACTTTTATTTCAGTTTAAATTATTCAATAAATAAAATCACTTTACAAATTTGTCAAGATGTTTATATTTTACGTTCAGTCTATCAATTTAAGTTTTCCGATAACGACTTAATAATAACAAAACAAATTACGCGGTCACAACACGCCTGCAAAGCGTAACACAGGATTATTTCCTCCTCTCGAGAAAATTCTCTCTTCCCCCTTTTTTCTGCATTGGGCTTTAAAATAATTAAAATTGAACGCTTAACCTAGGAAGATTTCAACTAAAGATAACCTGATACCAAACAAACGGGCCGTCATGGTATTGAATCGTTCAAGGATAAAATGAAAAACAAAAACACGTTATTAATAAGACAGCAATTAAAATAAGATTGATTTCAGTTGGTGTACCAATCAAATTGAACCCTGCGATCCAGAAGAGGGAAAACGAGTAGATGGGTCGTGTAATAACCTGCGATATCCCCAACGAGGTGCACCTCACACGCCCACTTACAGATTATTACCCGCTGTCTACGACAAAAGTAAGTTATAGAATTAATGTTTCCCGATCAATTTTTATTTCTTGAACAAACTCCAAATGCTGTGGAACCATTGAAACTAAGGGAACATATAGCCACTATAATACGAGATGCAACAGAGATACTTACGCCGGTTTCTGTGAGAGCGTGGTCCTTCCCAGATCGAGGCGACACATTCGTACCGCAGCCGTTAAATGGCTAGAGTGTGGCTTTACTACGTAGATAATATTTTAGCACGTAGATATATACACTCTTATATATACATTTAATAATTAATTTATATGTGTTTTATATTTTTTGTGTATTTACTGTTTATGAACCATGATTGCACATTTAATTTACCTAACATCAATATTATACACGTTTTGTTACCCATGTCATTATTGTATTATCCAGAAATTTCAATTAATCCCGAAATACTGAATGATTGGTATAGAATGTCCGGAGCCATAACCTGTTCCACATATCGTACCTGTTTATATGGTCAATAAAGTACAAATAAATAAATAGAACAATTACAACAGTTAATAAAATAGTTATAAAATATAGTAATAGTGTCCTTCAGACAGAATTTCGATCGCGACAAGTCTTATTGGAAGCTAACCGTCTGCGTTTGGCAGGGTCATAGTGCACGAGTGTGTGCACAAGCTCAGGTGCACTTTCTATTCTCTCACTCTCATAGTCCAATGGGACGGCAAACCCGACCTGACTGGGAATAGATCAAGCGCATGACTAACGAATTTCTGAGGTACGGGAGTGTACCACCGTCAACTTCCTGACTCTAGGCTGCTTCTGAGAATTTTTTGATTAAAAAAAAACAATAACTCATTCAGGTCTGGCCTAGGATTCAAACCCATCTTCAAAAATTTTGATCAACAGTCACGCTTTAAACCAATATGCCAACGCGATAGTGAGGCAACGTGACATGTTATATACATTTTGAATGAGAAGTAATGTCATGTTATATACATTACGAAAGAAAAGTAAGAATACACTGTACCAGAGGTACATCTATCACTTGTAGTCGATACTCGTATTATTTTCGTAAAACCAAACTGTGCTTTATTCATAATTTTTAATGTGTAAATGTTATCTCAAAATTTAAATCTGGAAAATAGTTACCGTCGATGTTCGATAGACGTAATTTTAGTTTTGTATTAAGTGTGCGTGTTGCCAATGATGACTTACGGATCTGAGACGTGGTCCTTCACTGCTGGCCGTATGAGGACGCTCAAGGTCGCTCAGCGAGCTATGGAGAGGGCTATGCTCGGAGTTTCTCTGCGTGATAGACTCAGAAATGAGGATATCCGCAGTAAAACCAGAGTGACCGACATAGCCCAACGGACTAGTAAGCTGAAGTGGCAATGGGCCGGCCATATAGCTCGAAGAACCGATAACCGATGGGGAAGAAAGATTCTCGAGTGGCAGCCTCGTACCGGTAGGCATAGTGTAGGGCGACCCCCCACTAGATGGAGTGACGACCTGGTAAGATATGCAGGAAGTCGATGGGTGCAGCTGGCTCAGGACCGTGCTTTGTGGTATTACTTGGGGGAGGCCTATGTTCAGCAGTGGACTTGTGAAGGGCTGTAATGATGATGATGATGATTTAAGTATTATTTTTCCTTTTCATTCCACATGTTTAAGTGGTAATTGTGCAGTGAATGAGTAACGTACTATACAATGTGAGACAAGCGCTCACGCCCAGCAAAACAGTTCTTTCGTTATTTCATACAAATTTTTAAAAAAACACTGTACTTTATTAATTAGTTTAGTGTGTAGTACTTTATTTTTTATTTTATAAGTAAGTAAGGAGAATACAATTCTCTTTACTTATTTATAAAATAAAAAATAAAGTAGGTTGACGATAGATGAAATAACCTATCTATCTACTACAGCCTATGAAAATCCCCTGTTGGACATTGGTCTTCCCCAGAGATTGATTAAAATTCTGTTTTACGTAATTTTTTATGTGGTAGATCCATGCTGCAGCTATAATAGTAGTACAGTTGTAGCACAAATAGGTGTGCTATGCCGGGTAAAAACCATGCTTTCACAGAATACCAGCGTGAAATAGCAGCTTAACGATGCTGTGTTCGTATTCGTATTTGTACTAAGCCATAACGTTAGGCATAACAGTTTTTACATCGTTATTTAATTATATAAACAACAGCATTGAATTTACGCAAATTAATTACATCATATAATTATAAGGAACAATTTTGTGTAAAAGAACGTAAAAGATGAATGTAATTAAATTTTTAGGCATTGTTCGAAAGTAAGGTGAAAAATGTAATATTTTGTTTAAATTAATAAATGAATTTGAATTTAATTACTCTTGAGACTTGGTCATTATCGTCTTTGTAAAGTGGAGCGTTGCGTCGTTTCTGTCTCACAAAGTGTAAATCAATCAATGTTAATGTGCTTATAAAATGAACCGAATATATACGACTAAAGCCTTTGTACGACTGAGAACTCACTGACAATATTTGTGTGAATGACTTGATAATGCTCGACAGAGCTTGAGCTAATCGACTGTGGGCGTTACATTCCGACTAAAGTTTTACATGTAAACTTTATGGCTGCATATACAAGTTTTAGTTTGTACGACTTCTTTGTCATCTAGGTGTCCGTCGAATATCACTTTCCGGTACTACCCTCTTACCTTTTTCAGAAGCCGAGTACCAGCGTCTACACTGCTATTCGGTATGTGTTTCGGTCTGAATGGTAATGAGAGTGACAACTTATGTGTAGCCAGTTGTTTGAAGCTCATTTGTATCCATCCTTATATTGGATAGAAATCTCGAGTTTCAGTTTTGTCACTTTTCTGTATTTTTTATTTTTATTTATTGTAATTGAAGCGATAATATCTTTTGCGACTGTACCTTCACGAATCGCATACGCGTAGTTGTTGCCATAATATTCTTCGTTATTAAATTTTCCAGACTTTAAAACTTTTCGAATCTTCAATGTTATGTTTAGTTTTATTTCGTTTATTATCTGCCTTTTTATTTTTAAAACCGAATTTATTTACCTTCTTCTTAGCATACTCGTCACTGAAGAAAACATGAAACCGATTTCTGAGAAATAAATCGTATCTCAAGGATATTTAGAGTTCGCTAACGGCTAACTCTACTGATGCTAACGATGTGTTGCGTCATGCTATGGAGTAATTTATCTCCTTTTCTGACGCTCCCACCGGTATCAAATCTCGCCCACGGTTTAACGCTGAATGCGCTCAAGCTAATAAACACAAGCATTTAGCGTACCTGTCCTGGGTTGCCGCTTGAAACCGCAAATTCTCCGGATATCAGACCCAAGAAGAGAACTTTCAACCAGGCCGCAAAGTCCTACAAAAAAATCCTTACGGAAAGCTAGTCTCGATTACAGTAAACATATTGGCTAAAAACTATCTGCCTGACCATCTGGTACTAGACCTTTATAGTCTCTTGCCAAAGCGGTCGAGATGAACTTCTGTCGGTCTTCACTGCTTCAACTGGTAAAACCGGATGGCACACTGGCGCATACAGCTAAAGTGAAAGCGGACTTGTTCGCATCTCTATTTGCCTGTAATTCGAGTCTGGACAGTGGCAACAATATTCCATCTAAACTACCTCACTGTGGGACCACTATGTTAGAGGTTCATATCACAAATAAGGAGGTTCACAAAACCTTGCGGTGTTTAGACGTAAATAACGCTAGTGGACCAGATGATATACCAGCTATAGGTCTAAAACTTGTGCACCTGAGTTGTCTCCTGTGTTGAAACGCATGTTCCACCTCTCATTTAGGACTGGAATAGTGCCAAAATCCTGGAAGCTGGTCAACGTACAGCGTATTTCAAAAGAAGGCAGCCGTGTCGACACTGCCAATTATCGGCCAATCAATTACCTCCATACTCTGCAACATTATGTATGGAGCGTAATTTGAACCTCCGCTTAATGACACACCTAGGACAAAATGACCTCCTTAGTGACAGGCAATACGGGTTTGGCTGAAATCTTGGGTACTTCTAGGAACTAGACGACTCCGTGGCGCAGTGGCTTAGCAATGAGTGGCTGCGCTGGGGGTCGCGGGTTCGAATCCCGCACGGAACAAATATTTGTATGGCCTACAAATAGTTGTTCCTGGTCTGGATGTTTGTCCTTGTGCAATTTATGTTTGTAAACTGCTCCTACGATACAAGAGACAATCTTAGTGTAGGTTAAAAAAAAGAAAAAAACTTCTAGCGTATGCCACACATGTATAGGACCAGATATTCGAGAACAGTGGAGAAGCACTTGCTGTTTCCCTTGATGTCTCGAAGGCCTTTGACAGAGTTTGCCACGCTAGCCTTTTTGGATAAACTTCCAGCGTACGTCTTATCCCCTGATCTATTGACTGGGTAAAGGACTTTCTGAGTGAACGGTCTCTCTCGGTCGTCGGTTGTCGTCGATAGTTGCTCATCTGATCCTGTGACGACTAACGCCGGTGTTTCACAGGGGTCTGTTCTCTCCGCAACTCTCTTCCTGCTGCATATTAATTATTTGCTTATGCCCGGTATAGGGTACGCAGATGACAGCACAGATGTGGAGAGATACTAACCAAGTCCTCGGGCCAGTCGGGGTCAAATCCAATTCGAAAGAGAAGCTATGGTAGAGCGTGTGAATCTCACACTACAAGCAGTCTCCGGATGGGGCAATGATCTTGTGAAATTCAACGCCTCCAAAACACAAGCATGTTACTTCACTGCAAAATGGAGCCAGCTCACCTTGGCTCCTAATCATTCCGAAATGTATCACTAGAATACACCAACCGCCTCCAATTGTTGGGGTTTGAGATATTCTCAAATCAAAACTTCGGGCGGTTCATTGAGTCCAAGGAAGAGGCAAGAAAGAGGCAGCTGCAAGGAAGCTAGGAGTCCTTGCAAAGGTGCGGCGATACTTCACGCCAGGACAGCTGCTTACATTATATAAAGCGCAAGTCTGGTTGTGCATGGAGTATTATTGCCATACATAGGCTGGTGCTACAAAATGCCACCTAGCAGCTTTGGACTCAGTGGAAAGACGTGATAATAGGCTTATTGGTAACTCGAATTTGGTTTAAACCAAGGCCTTTTGGATTTCTACAGGATGCATTTCGGAGAGTGTGCGCAGGAATTGCATAACTTAATTCCTTCCTCTCCCTTCCACCATGGGATAACCAGACGTTCAGCCAGTCTCCATTCTTTCGTTGTTTTTGACTTACCATGTATTCGAAACATACGGCTTGAATATGTCGTTCATCATGCGTACAGTAAAGGAGTGGAATAAGTTGCCAGCATCTGTTTTTCCATCCGATTACAGTTTGGGTGTCTTCAAGGCAAGAGTGAATAGGTTTTTGTTAGGTCAGTTCCCTTCACTATCTTAGGCTACATCACCACTTACCATTAGGTGGGATTGTAGCTAAGCGCTGGCTTATAATAATAATAATATGACCCGGCAGTACAGAGCATTTCCGACCGGGAGACCGTATGGAAGGAGAAGGAGCTCCACGGGAGGTACTACAGGGCTCTACATGAGCCTCACGTAGATACAGCCGCCTCCCTCAACTGGCTACGTTTCGGTGACCTCTTCGGGGGAAACCGAGGGTTTTGTCTGTGCAATACAGGATCAGGTTATTAAGACCAACAACTATCGGAGATACATCCTAAAGGATGGCACTGTCGACGTCTGTCGAGCTTGTCGCCATCCCGGGGAGTCACTTAGGCATGTCATCTCCGGTTGTTCGGCGCTTTCTAACTCTGAGTACTTGCACAGGCACAACCTAGTAGCCAGAATTCTACACCAGGAGCTCGCTCTGAAATACGGTCTCGTGGACCGAAAATTGCCGTATTACAAGTACTTGCCGGAAGCCGTGAAAATGACCGTGCCAAGCTCTACTGGAACCGGGCCATCATCACAGACAGGACTATTCTTGCGAATAAGCCAGACATTGTGCTGATGGACCGGGCACAGTCAGGGATATTTTTGATCGACATTACCATTCCGTACGACGAGAACCTCGTGAAAGCCGAAACAGAGAAACGAACAAAATATCTGGACCTGGCTCACGAGGTGACCGACATGTGGGGTGGTCTGCCGACCGAAATTATCCCTGTAGTCGTCTCTGCGAATGGGCTAATCCCAGTCAGCCTCTCGGGTCATCTGAGGCAACTGGGACTCCGTGACGGACCGCTCCGGGCTCAAATGCAGAAGGCGGTGCTCCTCGATACCGCCCGCATCGTCCGCCGGTTTCTTTCCCTTTCCCCCTAACCCTCGGCCGTTTGGTCTCCCCTGCCGAGGGCTCCCATCCGGTTGGATCTTATTTATTTATGTAGTTTTTGTGTTTATTTTATTTTATTACTATTTATGTATATTTATCTTTTCATTTTAATTTATAATTATATATTTATAGAACCCAACCAGGTGAGAAAGTTATATAGATACCCCAATAATAATAAAATGGCTCTGCTTCGTATACCTGACAATTCTTTGACTGACGAGGCAGTAAGAGGCCAGGCTAATAAAAAAATTTACATGTCATATTGGACTATTGTCACTTACCTGTGAAATTTGATGATGATGAACTATGAATATTTTTGTGCAGATTTCGAGCCAAAATTATCAAAGTCCGGCCATTCATTGCCACTGGCGAGGTTCTTGAGGACAAGTCTCCTAGCTGAGGGAAGATTACCCGATCAGAAGTTCACAACGCTTGCAACCAACTTCCTAGTTTTTATGTCGGCAGACGTGCTTTCTATTCAAGACACAGGTGATTTCTTAATGTATATTGATAAAGACGTGAAAATTAATCAGCCAAGATCTGCGTAAAAATAAGGACGATGTTTCTTTATCTAGTTTGAAGAACACCTTTCGCCCTCCTTCAATTGTGTGTACACTTCGTCGGTCGTTCGGAACGCCGACGTCAATAATACGACAATTGTTTCGCCTCTAAACGTAGCATCGTCATGAGAAACTTTTTCAGATGATGCCTTGTTGTAATGAATTTTAGCATCTCTTATATAATGGATTTCCAAAAAATAATGCTGTTTCTAATAATAACTCATATTGTCAAATATATTTGTGTTATGATTTTAAATTAATTATGATTTTTTATTCTTGTCATTTCGTGGTAGTCCACTTCTGAATATATGAACCTCACATTGTAGATAGTATTTGCGGCAATCGCTACACTCTCTTTAATTCGAACAAAATTTCAACACTAGATGATACGCACGTATTGCAACTACTCCCTTTCTACGGTCCGGGTATTTTATCTGCTATTAAGCGAGATTGCATCATCGTCTATACCATACTCTATAGCATGAGTCTTCTACAATCACTTTTTGTCACCTTTAATGATACCTTCTCACGCCACCGCCAAATGAAAATCCTGCATATTAGTATCAAAATATCCGATGTACAAAAAACTTATAAAAACACTTGACGCCATTATTTTAAACTCGATTGCTTTATTTTACTTTTTTAGCATATTAATGCACATTGAAATTGTGGTAATTCTGTACAAAAGTGTATATTACAATTTTAATATTTAAAAATTTTAACCCAAATCCCAAAAAAAAATTCTTACTTTATCAAAAATTGGATAAGACACAAAAAAAAAATTAACAACAACCATTATATTTGTTGACGCCTCCTCTGTGTTTGTATACTATGTAGTCATAAATTGACGGACCGAATCACACGAGTTTTAACCTTCCGGGTAAAAAATAATATTTTTACTGGTATCCCAACCTATGTGAACTGCCACTGGCAACACTATACACCTCATGTCATTGTGAATTTTTCGTGCCGAATCAGCGAGTCGCATCTTCAAATTAAAAAGTTTTAAATTAGTTTTTAAGTGAAAGTTCTTAATTTTATTATTAGCAACTTGTGAAAACTTACTTGTTTAACACTCATAAACGTTTCGGACGATTGCAATGTATGTAATTTTTGCATTTAAATAACTTTTAGGGTAGATTAACTATAACGCGAAATGTGAAATTTGTATTTGAAACAGAACGAGCATCTGTAAATACATAATTTTTCAATAAATCTAATATGTATATTGTATTCATGTATTGAACATTGCATAAGTATTTAAAAAAATAAACCTGAAGGGTAGATTAATAAAATAGCAATATAAAATCAATGTATCAGACAGGGCAAAACTCGGTATATTACATATTATCTGTCTTGCGGTGCCACGATTGACATTGAATTTCAATGTTTATTAATATTAATACGTTCATATTTACTACCAAAATGTATATAATATTATTGTTCACAGTCTAATAAAAACACAATATAAAATCTATGTGTGAGACAAAACGAATCTATACATTACATATCTGCCTTGCGGCGCCACGAGGGGTACGTACGGTAATGCCTCATGCATTGGATTCTATTTCATACGAATATTCGTCTTTTTTCTCTACAAAAATGTATGAAAGGGTTATTTTACCCGCGAAACCACGGGCGTGTACACGAGGCTATTTTCACAACTGATGTTTCTCATTTTCGGGACAAAATAGGAGAAAAATTATTTGCTCAAGTGATGAGGAAGATAAAGATTCTGTTCACATATCATTCTCAACCCAAAAACTTATCAGTCAATCTTGTATTAAGGGAAAAATTTCTTTTAAATTCTCCAAAATTCAATTCTTTTTTAACAAGTGCAAATCAGAGATAGAAGGTTATGTGAAAAATGAGCCATATACTTTCAAATTTCAACATTGTATGAATAGGTCTTATCAAGAAGATTGGTGAAGAAAATAATGATACTGTAAATAACTGCATTAGACTGTTATGTGCCTTATACAATTTAAAGACTCCTTTAAGAACAACATTACTGCTATCAAAGCTAACCAATGTTTATAAAGTTAGCTCTTAAGGAAACCCATGTGACTACTTATTTGGTACAGAATTTTGTTTTAAAAAGATGAAAGGAAAAAAGCATAGATCTAAAACAAACATTAAGAAAACTTTAAAATATGGGGACCTGTCTCCATCAGTAACAACTCACTAGACATGCAATAGCCTCCAGCAGTAGCTTTATACCAGCAGAAGTGATACTATCGAGTAATATGTAGTAGGCGCCAAGCCCAAAGGTAACACAGGTAAGCAAATTCACTTGACCTCATTTTATTTCAAATGGTCGGCTAATATTTCCAATATGGACCATCGATTTCAAAACCCATATTTTTTTTGTAGATAGTACTCACTAAAAGAAAGCGTTTTGCAAAGTTTTAGGTTGCGAAAACTTACGGTTCATGAGATATATTTTTTTAAACTTTTCATACAAATTGGTAAATAACACGCAATTACAAAATAAATTTGACAAATGATTGATGTCAAAAGTCAGTTAGTGTAGAGTTCCGAATATTTTGAAAGTATCGATACCTACTCGATACCAAGTATCGTATCAAAAGTATCAATCAATACTACTTGGTATCGAGTACATTTCGTTAATTTTGGAGACGAAAAATTATGACAAACCAATTAGATGCATAGGAAGAGCTGATAAGTGCAATTATATATGTATATAAAGAAGAATAAAGTTTACTCTATTTAAGTTCCACCTTAGTACTTGTATTTCATTATTTGCAACTTGTTTGTATTTCTTAATTAGTACAGCTTTTGTACTTTTATTTTATTGCTTGCAACTTTCTGTATTATCTAATTCTTACTACAATAAAGTATTTACTTACTTATTGACTTACTTATTTAATATCCAAAAAGTACCCAAAACCGAATCAGAGCACCCCACTATCCACGTGGTCTTGTCTGCTCTACCCCTAGAGTGTATATAAGAGCCCGGAGGCGCTGAGGGAGAGCAGTGCGTGTGCTTCCCTACGCTAGGGCGGAGGCACTGCTCATCCCGCAGCGCCGGAGCTGCCACGGAGCGCCGGAGCACAACTTCCCGGCTTCTTACCCCCCTAGTCTCCAAAATTAACGAAATGTACTCGATATCAAGTAGTATTGATACATTTGATACGATACTTGGTATCGAATACGTATCGATACTTTTAAAATATTCGGACCCCTACACTAATTGACGTTTGACATCAATCATTTGTCAAATTTATTTTGTAAATGGTGTAATTGCGTGTTATTTGCCAATTTGTATGAAAAGTTTAAAAAAATATATCTCATGAACCGTAAGTTTCCGCAACCTAAAACTTTGCAAAACGCTTTCTTTTAATGAGTACTATCTACAAAAAAAATATGGACTTTGAAATCGATGGTCTATATTGGAAATATTAACCAAATGGTCTAAAATATTATTAAAAAAAACGACGGGTTGCACTCCGGGAGTGCCGGTAGAAGTGAAAACTTGAATATTAACGTTGTGCATTTTTGATATTTTGGAATGGTTAGGGAATAATTTTGCACGGATTGCTTTAATTATCAGTATAAAAGTACTATTATCATTTATGTGGTAGAATACAATATTTATTTATTGCGCTATCGTACACAAACATGACAATTTATATTACATTCGCGTAAGCACGCTTCGCCAGTTAAACGAAACAGCAGGCGCAGGCGTACATTTTCGCCGCGCCGTAGAAAGAGAGGGGGTACTTCCTCTTCTACGCCGTCCGTCTTACGAATTTTCGGTCAGGTCACGTGTCCTGACGCGAGTTGACCATTTTTTACCCATTACAAAAAAAGTGTACAACGCCGCTAAAGAAGTTTTCACTTCACACTTTCTTCTAAAACCTAACTTCATAGTAGTTAAAAACTAACTTCATAGTAGGTCGCCAACAATACATTAGTGTGAGTCAAGCATGTCCTCTAACATATGTTGAGTTTAATATGTCAGAAAATATTGTATTTAATATAGCTGTAAAACTAATTAAAACAAGACTACAAGTAGTCATAATTTTGTTTTACTTATTGGTAAATACCATAATATGATATATACATAGATGAAGAGAATCAGAAAATAAAAAGTGGAGAGTTCTAGAATTGCTGTTAATTGGATTATAAAGTTAATTAAAAAAATCAATACCTTAAAAGTACATTTAAATAACTTGCTATTAATGTAGAAAATTACAGCATTTTCATACCTGAAGTGTATGTGAAGTACCATAACAATCATATAGGAAATTTGCTAATTTAATAGACAAATTAATATCTGTTTGTTCAGCTATCTTTTATAGGTAAATGTATACAAAACAAATAAAATGTATCAAAAGAGAATAATTTTGAATCTAAATTAATACTGTAAAATCATATTCAGATTTCAAGTAGTCCAATTACAGGGGGTGCTTATAAAATGAAAATCCTTTCAGTTCATAATGTATGTGATATTGAACATATTTTAGTTTTTAATTTTGATCATAATGTTTAATAATCCCCATATCAAATATTTCTTATAAGAGTACAGCTGTATCATATATAAACCACGTAGATGGCATATAATAATCACATCAAGTGACATAGCTTGTAAAATTGATCATGTGTAATATATGTATTTCTTTTTTGCCCTATAAATAACATCTTAAGGTAATTCTCGTATGCAAATAATCTAAGAAAACTAATGGCGAAATTAAATGGGAATCAAATTCCTAAACCTATAAAAAGATTGCCTAGAAAATTTTATTCAAAAGTAATAGATGAACTTAAGTCCATGCATTTGCTATTAGAAAAAATACTATAAATGCATAAAATTCATGGTTTAACCTTAAGTATTATGAACTATTTTCCACAATCTTCAAACGGAATACAGAAGAAGGAATAACCTTCTAATCTTCATAAGCCCATTACTAAATCATTGTTAAAAAGACGACTTATTAAAATTCTTATCCTGGCCAACAACTATTATGTAAGATCTCCTTTGATCTAAACTTACCTTGCTGTGGCAGTGCATTACATTTATGTATGTAAAGCATAAAAATAAGCCCTTGTCTGTATATACAATATGTCTATTGTCTAAAGTCGTGGTAGATAAAGTAAGAAATTTACTTATTGTTCTTCCTATTATGATTTGGGCTCATACTGTGAAGTTAAACAGTTCTTTTATAGGAAGAAAAATAAAAAACAAGGAAATATACAGTAGTACGATAAAATATGAGTATTTTTAACCGACTTCAAGAAGGGGGAGGTGTTAAGTTCGACTGTATGTTTTTATGTGTGTTGCCTCATAGCTTTTCTCTGTCTTCGTCGTCGGTCTTTTTTTATTTGAAAGCTGGTGCTTCAAGTGTGATCTCATGTAGATTTGATCTTCTTATTTTATTTATATTAAAGTCCGTTGTGCAAAGTTTTTAATTTCGTTACTTGTATCAGTTACCTCACAATATCACTTGCATGTCACTAAGACTATATGGAATTTAGTAAATTAGTTGTTAATTTTGAAAACTACTTAATATCCCTGCAATAAATCAAACAGCTAGTTAGATAAAGTATTTTAAGAAGAAAATACATTACTTTTTATTGTATATAGTACCAGCCATTCATCCCCTTCTCGTCCTAGAAATAGTGGTATTGATGATATTGATAGTATTAGAAGGACAACAATCTTACATCCAAAACTTTTTCCGTTTGTTATAAGAGGCCATTATTTTAATTAAAGGCATTTGAAAAGTATAAAATAAATAAACTATAATTCATAATAGGAAATTATATTATCTAAATTAAATAATTAAAATATTAAATGATATAATAATTATATATTGTTTGTTTCGTTGTAAATTGTTGATTACGTTTAATTTATGATAGTAAATAATTCAAATGAATCATTCAAATCTTTAAACATCTACAAACAAAGATACAAACACAGAGGAGGCGTCAACAATATAATTATTTTATCAAAGTAACTTACCTGTAAGTGTCCTTCGATAAAAAATATATGAGTTTGACACCTCCTCTGTGTACAACCCTACCCTGCTGTTTATCCCACCCTAAGAGCTTGCTAGGATTTAAATAATTTTTTCATAATTCTAGTGGATATAAATTCAAAATGACATGAGATGTATAGTGTTGCCAGGGGGAGTTCATATAGGTTTGGATACCAGTAAAAATATTATTTTTTCCCCGAAAGGTTAAAACTCGTGTTATTTAGTCCGTCAATTCATGACTCCATAGTATACAAACACAGAGGAGGCGTCAACCTCATATAATTTTGATCGAAGGACACTTACAGGTAAGTTATTTTGATCAAATTAATATTTATGATAATAAATGTGTATAATTGTTTATTTAACATGATATCTTTTAGTTAAGTATATCATTTGGAAGCCGTACTGCTGCCAACGAAAAGGCAAGACGGATAGAGATTGCGTTCCAAACAAAATACCCGATGATGATCCTGTTCATCGCTTCTCCAACATAAGATGTCTGAACTTGACCAGACCTGAAAGTTTTCAATCTGTCGGTTGCATCAAAAATGACACAGTTCCTGAAAGGGTAAGTAGATTATGGTATTTGGTTATCAATAAGTTCTTTTTCACCATATTATTAAATTATATTTGTTTATTTGATTTTATTGATTTACCACATATATATTAAATAGTTTAAAATGGAAAAAATATAGTTTCTTAATTTTACAGATTGTGTCTGCAACACCGGCATTCGATCTATCGCTATTATATGGCACTACATTACAATCATTACTTGAAAAAGGCCGTCTTTTCAAAAGTGGTCTGCTAAAATATGAAGTAGAGAGGGGAAGAATATGGCCACCTAGTATAGAAACAGGAAGTGGTCGATGCTTCTTGAATCAAAAACCGCAAGAAACCCGATGTCATAATACACGTAAGGGAAATCTCTTTTAATGATAAGTTTATTAATTCAGCTGTGGTTTTGTTGTCGAAGTGTTCATTTTTTATGACAGATCCTATAACTCTATTCGATGTAGTAGTGTTTATTGAATAGAGCAATACAGGCCACAGGCAGACCGGAGCCATACGCAGGTGTTCCCCTTTGTCAAAGTACAAGTTTACGTGGTCCTGTGCGTACAATAAAACTAGTCTAAAGTTGGTCCAAATTAATTTGCTTATATCCGCGTAATAAATTAAGAAACGAAAACTAATTTTGGCTCACGTAATGAAATGGATTTCCGCAAAGTAACGCCTGATTCTTTAAAACTAATTGCAATCGCATTGCTTACTGCTAGACTAAAAACTGACTAAATCCTACAAAAATGCCGAATTGTACAGTTTTTTTTTTGCTGCAAATAGAGATCTGCCACGTCTAATTTACAAAAATTTGGCGTTAACTCACATATTTAAGTAATTTTCAATCTCATTATTGGTATCAATTTCGTTTTAAACCTAAAAGTTATAATAATAACGGTCTTGTTATTTCGGATTTGTCAACTAACCGCTCGTCCTAACACAATATGCGGGTCGATCGACCGACTGAACCGAGTCTAAATTCGAGTTGTAGCTTTCACCGAGCGATATTGTTATTTGTGTGTGAAATTGTTAGTTTATTATCTTACTTGTTATGTGTTAGTTTTGTAGTGACGGACGATTCATTTTTTTGTGCGCAGATTTCTCCTCGCAAAAATAACAAACAATTTTGTATCGGGAAAAACTATATGGCTCTATACTCTTCTTCGGTCCATCGGTGGCTCGTGTTGCTCTATAGCTTATTTTGGTAACTATTTTACAGAATATTATTGACACTACAAACATCCAGTGTCGAAGTCTCCATAGAAGCCAAGAAGCCGAGTTCGCCCTTTCAAACTACTCAATCAGTAATATAAACTAATAAAAGAACTCGTAAACTATTTCAATTTTCCGCGCGCTCCTCTGTTCTACACAAGTCATGACCTCGTACCCTTATTATGTAACGTCAACACTTGGCAGATTGTTTTCAATTCAAAATACACTGATTCGTTTTCTCTCTGTCTCATAGCGAACACGCAATGGAACGTCAAAATTAATGAAAGCAAAGCAATATGGATGGACCCCATCGCGGGAAAACTGCGTGATACTGCACTCATAAAAAAAGGAATTGAGTTGAGCGATTAATCGGCTATCTCGTACGCGTGGGAAAAGATCCTACACTTTTTTTAAAGGTCGGCAACGCGTCTGCAATTCTCCTGGTGTTGTAGTTGTTCATGGGTATACAGTGGGGGTATTCACTTAATATTAGGTGAATCGCTTGCTCATTTGCCCCTTCTCATATAAACAATTATATTGTTCATGTTTCTCATTTAAACTATACCGGGCTTTCGAGAAGACGGTCTTTCCAACCTGTGTCAAAATATTCTATAGTGAAATATAGCTACGATTGCTTATATAGCAATTAGAATAGAGCGAAAAAGACAGGCTTTTGGTAGGAAGTTAGTTAGGCGAGCACGGGGGTGCGCGGACGATACGTTTGCAAGTTCACTTCACATTTCAATGTTTACTCTGTGTATTTATTTGAGCGAATGGATATTAAGAGTTGAAAATTTATGCTTTTCTGAAGATTTTTAGTGAAAATGGAGAGTAATGGCATTCATTGTGATTGTGAATTAAAGTGTCTTAAATTGTTAATCGGCGAGGAATAAGTAAAATAATTAAATTTTGTAGAAAAAAACAGTTCATATTCTCGCTCAATTACCGCAATTAAAAGCAGTTATTGGTACAGTAATTTTTTTTTAATTATTAAGGATAACTGTTCACACACACACACGCACACCCCGCCCACACACACACATATCGCGAGAGTGAACACTGGCAGGGATCACCGAATGGTAAGAGGGTCACGGAATCTAAACATTAAATTGAAAAGATCGTGTTCATATCCCAAGACACAAAAACTTTCAGCTCAAGTTACAAAATCGTTTTCCTGTGCCTATAAAACTGCAATACAGTGGACGATATGAATGATAAGCTCGTGGAAACTGTCCATGCGATCAGAGCTAAGTTCTCATGACCCGTCGCCGGATAACACAAAACTCACCAATCACACTCTTAATCTCATGGCTACTAGACGGTTAATGAAGCTGCATTATTCATCAGATATGACAACATACAGGAAACTGAACACCTCGTATTGAAGATTCGATCGAGTGAAACCAAGGCTTCAAAGATTTTGCCAGAGATCTGTCAGCCACAAAAAGTCAACTGTCAAAGCTGAAGACCGAATGTGGTAGCATACTTTCCGAGACACCTTCGATTTTGATTGAGATTGAGAGGTTCTACGAGTCGCTGTACAAGTCTTATCCGATACTATTTCCATGATATCCTGGACGTCAATCTAAACGAGATTGGAATGGCTCACCAGCACCTTGAAAACGGCAAGTCTCCGATTTATCCGATCGAATCTCAGCGGAGCTTTTGAAAGCGGGTGAAAAACCAGAACTTGAAGTACTTCAGAAGGCGTAGAGTAGAAGTTCGGTGGTTGTTTGTCAAGAAAGGTGACAACACTTTCTAGAACACTTTCAAGAACTACAGACCGATTTCCCTTCTGAGCCGCGTCTACTTGCTGTTTTCAAGAGTTATTACGAATCATCTCACGCAGACTCGATGATCGATCGATAGACCACATACATAGCCTTCGACAAAGACCAAAGAGTAAAATCTACCACTTTGTCTTGCTTATGCAGACTATAAGAAAACTTTTGATTCCGTCAAAATTTGCGCGGTGCTGCACTCTCTTCAGCAGTGACAAGTTGACTGTCAGTATGTCGGAGTGCTGATGTTTTCGTACAGTAGGGATACGATGGCTATCCGAATACAGAACAAGAGCACATAACCTCGAGAAGTGTAAGATGGAGTGACGCTATATCCCTGAAATTCTTCACTGCAGCATTGGAAGAAGTTTCCAGGTTCTGGACTAGATAGAATACGGTATTAACATCAATTATGAGAATATCACATACCTTCGATTTGTTGACGATATAGTCCTCATAGCAAAATCGCTGGAGGACGCAGATGGCGGATGTAGGTGGCTTATGGCCATGCTTTGTGGCATTTTTTGGGAAAGGACAATGTTCAGCAGTGGACTTGTGAAGGGCTGTATTGATGATGAGGTAATATTTGCGGAATCGTAAAATTGTTCTCTGCTTGATTTATGTTCCTTATTGGTTTGGAACTTATAGGTCTCATATTTATGTGGGATTTATAACAAAACAAAATGAAAAATGAATGGTTTACTGGCAAACCAATTATCACTACTTTCAAACTTTTCCATCTTAACCGATTTCTTTTAGCTGCTCTATGGCTCTGTTTATTTCCTCGAAGAATATAGACGTAACATTGTGTATGCTTGATTTTCTCAATTTAACATTAATTTGTTTCAGCTGATGACACCATGAACAGTTTGGCGGGAGTTAATTTGTTTAGTATTTGGTTTTGGAGACTTCACAATTTTATAGCCACTGGACTAACTAAGATCAATCATTGCTGGGACGATGACAAGGTGTTTTACACTGCTCGTGATATAAATATTGCTATCGCTTCACAAATAATTTTATATGAGCTATTGCCCGCCTATTTTGGTAAGAATATTTTAAATATTTTTAATATTCTTCTTCTTCATCAGGCCGTATCAGTATTGCTAACCATGTAGTGACGTTGTAAGAATATTTACTAACCCATATCATCTTATGGTTGTCATAAGATTCAACTGAGGGAATGAATCTAGAGATGAGCAGTAGTATCCTCCTGGTAACAACTCAAAATGATGTGAGTAAAAGAAATCCAAGCGAGAAAAGCCGCGAGAATTAGCTAAAGTAATTACCAATTATACATTTAAATACAATGACTTCTAATTGAAACAAAATAATTCAGGTTGCGCTGGGTAAAATGAGTACTAATTTGTTGTTAATAACCTCCGTATCTTTAGGTCATGAAAATCTATTAAAAGATGGAGTACTATCACCCACGCCTGGATTCAGAGATCACTATAATGAACACCTCTTCCCTCAAATATCACTGGAGTTCCCATTTGTTTTTCGTTGGTTCCATACAACGCAGGAAGGAAATATGAAGTAAGTTATAATACTGCTAATTATTATATTAAATGCCCAGACAGCATTTTTTATTGAAATAAGAGGGGAACACAAGCTTAAAATTTCACTGATGATAAATGTATACTGTAGTTTACAGAAAACTACACCTATTCTCGATTAAGAATCAAAATTCACATGCGTTGTGACCTCTGTGGGCTGTTATAGAATGCCTTGTCATCAGTAAAAAGAGTCACCGGTGCTCTACACTCAGCTCACGAAACGCAGCAGTATTAAGCCACTATTTCATGCCTGTATTCTGTAAGAATGTGGTCTATGCAGCGTTACTCTACAACCTGTAACCATTACATGTAAAAATATTTGTTCACCTGATTGTAATAATTTGACAAGTTAAGTGACTTCTTTTTTCAATCGTTTCTTTATATTTGAAAATGATAGTAAAATTAGATTCATCGTTATCATCATCATCATCATCATCATCGTATAATTCCATTACTGGCTCTTTCCTTATAAGCAATATTTGAAGGAAAAGTATGCAATAATAATAATAATAATAATAAAATTTCCACACTACCAACCCCAAAAGGACTGGAAAGAGACAACCAATGTATTTGTAATAAAGATCAGAATTGTCTTGTTATAATTTTTATAATATTCACGCCTAGTAGGCGGATTGATGACCGCAACACCTAGGGTCTCGCACTTTTGATGCTGGTGTCCGTTGTTAGTCTTAGGATTGTAAGCTTGGAGTAAAAGAGGCGATAATACTGCCTCTATTGTGAACAATAACAGCAATCTGGCATCATTCATAAAAGCCTCACACGACACCAATGAGCACAAATGGCGTGCTGAACTCTCTTAAGCCGCCTGAACATGCCAATTGACAATGACCCTGTTTAATACAGAGATTTTTTTTAGCTTGTACGACACTCAGGGCAACTATTTGAAGAAAGTTCCAATTGTAAACATAACTCTAAGAACTGGATTCTTTGGTGTGGACGACAATATAGATTATGTAACACAAGGAAACTTTAGGCAAGCGACGGGTAAGGCTGACTACATCGTTGATCCTGACGTAAGTAGAAAACATTTTTATAAGTACATTCTAGCTACGGCCGGTTGTGTGCAATGTCGTTTTTATCTCACAAAAGCTTTTTCGTAATCAGATGTAGCTTACGAGTATATCATTAACGCATACGGTGCAAACAAAGAAATAATATATACAATACAACGATTATTAAATATTGATATTCTTACATTACAACAATTAGAAGTAGTTAAGCTTCATGATAAGTTAACAAATATTTTATGTAAATTACTATTACAGCCCATGAGCGCCTGCAACTAAATACACTTATAACTTTTTCCAACTAACGAAAAAACGGAGGAGGTACTCAAGTCGACGCGTATATTTTTTATGTATGACCACGCATAACTTTTTACAGAGTATTCCGACTTTGATAATTCTTTTTTTATTGAATAGGCTATACCTCGAAATTGGTCCCATATAAATTTGGAAATAATTTTTACCATAAGGGTAGGAAAATAAGGGTGATTTATTACAGAGTAGTCCGATTTTGATATTTTTTATTGGATATATACCCTATCCAATAAAAAATATCAAATTAGTTCCTCGGAATTAGTTCTATATAAATTTGGAAAAAAGTTTTTACCCTAGGGTGGGAAAATAGGGGTGGTTTATTAGAGAGTAATCAGATTTTGATAACTCTTTTTTTAATTTATAGGGTAGGGTATATACCTCGTAATTGGTCTCATATAATTTTGTAAAAAGAATTACCCTAAGGGTGTGAAAATAGGGGTGATTTATTGTTTACTCACAGATTTGAATGCTGAGTTGTGTATTACAACATTACATAATAATTACATTACACTACAAAAAAACCTCACGATTAATGAGCTTTAGACCTGTCAGTCTCTTGTGTGCAGACCTCTCAGACTCTGCATTTCTGTTAAAGCTCATTCAAGGTGAGATTTTTGTAATACCTTTCATTCCGAGATCGATCACAACTAGAAATAATAGTTAAAGCAGAATTATTTAACAGTTAATAGTTAGGAATTAAAGTAAGGTAAGTAACTATTTTAAAAATAATAAAAAATTAAGCATGTAGTAATTAGTATATTATTGCCACAAAAAATTATAAAATAAAAACCTTTAAAAAATAACCTACGAAAAAACTGAAAAGCAAAAAATAATAAACCTTTTACTTTTACATTAATAACTAAGTTCTTAAAAATGTGTATGTACCTAAGTATATATTTTTGTAATTTTTAATTAAACTTAATAACTAAGTTCCTAAACTAATGTTAAAAGTATACCTAAGTAATTTTGAGTCGGCGCCAAGAAATCAATGAACAAAGCTCAATAAATTACTTTAAATTTAAAGATTTTAATTTTTTTATTAAAAAGTTTTTATTTTTAACTGTAAAGCTACAAAATTTAAAGAAAACTAAAAACGCGCTGTCACTCCCGAGGGCTAAATGTCTCAGAGCCTGTAATTATAATCTATTTCTTATCAAATCATAACATAGCAGTAGTGCATTTAATAGAAACAGATAAGAGCGTAGTACCGACCTTAATATTTGACTCCTAGGCAGGTATGATATTATATTTTGACTGTATTATAACTCGCTTTCCTACAGTGATGAGTACGAACACTACAAAAAAAGTATTAAAGATAAAAAAAATTGTGGTAGATTTTATCTTCATCTTACCCTACTCAGATCAAATGTTCTGCTTGGAGCTAACGTCTATTCCATTTATTTTTTTATGAAGTATTGTTAATATTAATGAATTATGGTTTAAAATAAATCTTAATTTCAGGTCGCAGAAGTGGGTCTAGGTCCACAGCAACGCGCTACAGATCTTTTAACGAGCGATTTGGCGAAGAATCGGTTATTTGGTTTCCAGCCGTATATTAAATATAGAGAATTTTGTTTCAAACAATCGTTTAAAAGTTTTGATGACTTACTTCAAGCTATTGATCCAGAGGTACGCTTACACCTATAATTAGTGAAGTTGATTATCAATTACTTTTACAATTGAATAAATTTATCCAAATCTGTAATATCGGACCAAAATATTAAATTCAAACTCATATAAATCTATTTACAGACTTTTGGTCTACTTTGTATTTATAATACAAGAATTGTTGTTGAGAAGCTTTTCTTAACATACATGTTATTATAATATTAAAAGCAAATGCCAAAAAAGTACAGTTTACATGACTCAAAATAACGTACATGTTTCAGAGAGTCGAACTGCTCAAAGGGGTTTACGAGAACGTGGAAGACATAGATCTCATTGCTGGAATTTGGCTCGAGAAACTGATCGAGGGTGGTAATGTACCACCTACTTTGTACTGTGTTGTGGTGGAACAGTTGCTTAGGACTATCGCGTCAGACAGACATTGGTATGAGCGCCCCAAACGACCGAACGCATTTACAAATGGTTAGTGTTATGTATATACCTTTAAACGAGCAATTCTTTTATATATATAGTACCCGGTTGACCGAGCTTTGCTCGGTATTTTTCGCTCGGTTTTTTTTAATTCATGTGTTTTGGAAATTATATTTACAACAGAAATACAAATTACATACTGATGAAATACGAATAATGTTTTTTGATCGTAACGACATAATAGACAAAACTGAACTGGTTATTTGAATAAAAAATCGTGAGTGCAATTAGTATACTTAAAATTTTCGTGTTTTTAAAAAATACTAAAAAAAGGGCACGAAAAAATAGATTTTCTCAAAAAAGAAAGGAACCTAAAAAAAAATTAAAAAAAGTCGGTCGGTCGGTCTGGGCTAGAACCATGGTATTACGATTTTGTGACCGCCCAATATACCAATTAAGCTATTTGTAATCAATTATAAGCGATCAAAATTTATCTTCTTATTCTAACGATATTGTAGTAGTTTTTCATTGCCTAAAAACACGGACAAAAAGACATTTTCTAAAAATAAATCCTAGCTAGATCGATTTATTGCCCCCGAAACTCCCTGCACACAAAATTAATGTATATATATAATCGGAATCTCGGAAACGGCTCCAACGATTTTCATAAAATTTAGTGTCCAGGGAGTTTCGGGAGCAATTAATCGATCTAGCTAGGGTTTTGTGAAAAAATCTATTATTTCGAGCCCTTTTTTTAGTATTTTTTAAAAATACGAAAATTTTAATTAAACTTATTGTACTCATAATATTTTATTCAAATAACCAGGTCAGTTTTTTTCTATTATATAAGATCAAAAAATATTATTCAACCGAGCAAAGCTCGGTCATCCGGATACTGTATATAAATTACGTTATCGTTAAGATTTTATTATGCTCTCACAAACCAAAATAATGAACAATTATTAGGCGGCGATTAACTTTCGGTTAAAATCACTGTACCATGCAGAAGCGGTGTAAGAATATCTACTACTCCATATTTTCCCGTGGGTGTCGTAAAAGTCGACAGAGGGAAACAAATTAGATGGGCAGCAGCATCTGCCTAATAATGACCAAAATAAACAACTGTGTTGCCAAGCGTGGCAACTATGGCAAATATCCATGATATGATGCAATCCTAAGTTGCAGATAGGCTGTAACGGTAACCGTAATAGTAAAATAATTGACTATATTGAATATGCTAATAATGATTTAAAACTTGTATTATTTTTATTTCTCTTAATGTTTGGTATTTGTAAGAGAAATGTAACTTTTTTTATCTACATACTTAATAACTAAACACGTTTTCTTATTCACACTAGAACAACTACAGGAGATCAGGAAAGCTACGGTGGCGCGCTTGCTGTGTGACGTCGGCGATAAAGTGACCCACATACAACGTCAAGCGTTCTACAGGATAAGCCCAAAGTACGTACAGTATAAACAACTATCATTTTGGGAATCTATAAACGTATTTTGAGATTTCATATTAATAATATTTATTTAATAAAGAAATAATGTGAGACAGCGGCCTAAGAAACTTCAGTCTCATCTTACGGTAAAAATTCGGGGTGTGGATGTGTGGCAAACGTGGCCGTGTGTTTTACGTGAATGTTACGCTATACTTTCTTTCGCTTTCGAATCTTTAGCTATCGATTGGTGTAGATAAATTTTCGATGTTGATGATAGATATGTAATTGCAACACCAAACTGTGTCCCCCGATTTTGTTATCATCAGTTTTCTGATTGCCTTCCACTATTTATCATTAAGACGTATTCAAGTCGAAAAAATATTGGACTCAAATAGATAAATGTATACTATATCGAGTATATTTAGATCTAGGCGGTATCACATGTAAACAATCTGTTACGTGATCATAAATCATTCTGCAAAGCGCCGCGATTTCTACAGTATGTTACCTGAGAGAATAAAGGAAGAGAGAAAAAAGGTTTAGTAAAAGATATTCAGAATGGCGCATGTAAATAAATCTACTATTAATTGACTTATATCCCATCCGGTGGAATATGAAGACCTGTATAATAATTCGCAATACTTTAGGGCAACAAATACTCTTAGCTTGAATATCTTAGAGCCACAAAGACAGACGCTGGAAAATTATTCCACTTCTACGCTGTATAAGCATTACAAAAAACGAAGTAAACCGTTTAGTTCGAATGCGTGCAATGTCAACAGCAGAGCGGTGGAGACTCCACGAGCGTCTGGTTGTCATTATCCGCAATGTATCTTGTAGAATATTGCTTAATATGACAATTTTTATTTTCAGCAATCCATTGTGTGACTGCAATGACATTGATTTTGTTAATCTCTGGGCGTGGAAGGACCCGACGTGTGGCGAGCAGGGTTCACAATTTGATGCATCCTACAATACGGCGAAATTTTTCCAAAACCAGTTCCTGAAATTAAAAACAAATGTATGAGACAAAATAGAAAAGTCATTTAATTTTCTCACGTAATATATGATGTATTGCTTTTATCTTTTGTATATTTAATAGGATATAATTCCGTTTATGCGAACAAAGCATTTAAAGTCCAAAAAAAAATCTATAAGAGCCATTTACATACATACACCATTATTTTAAAAAAAAAAACTAAAAATTCTACCGTTGCCTTGTCTGTACATACTAGAAATAAGTATTTTTGTGAAAAAGCATCCAAATGTATTTCCATCACACAATGAAATGTTGGGAAAACAAGATAGCCGAGATAAGCCGAATTATAGGTAAATTATATGTACCACAACAAAGGCTTAAATATATATAGCAAAGGTTGTTTTTGTATGGCAATTAAAATATTTAACAAGCTACCAGAAAATATAACTATTAAATATTAATAAATTTAAAAGAACTTTAACTCAATGGCTTCTTGACTATTGTTTTTACTCCGTAAAAGATTTTCTGACTATATGTCAGTAAAAGATTTTCTGGCATATAAAATTGAGTAGGTACGAAATTGACACTATATGTATATTGATTCAATTAAGTTTTTTTCCCTAATTCTATGAATTGTGAATAACTTTGCTTTGAACAAGTTACAATAGAGATGTAAATATTATTTACTAAAAAAAAAAACGTCTGTTAGTCATAAAAATATCAATGTCTTACTAATTTCAAATGTATGCAATTACTATTTGGAATAATTGAACCCTTAGTATTAAGTTATATTTCACAATTTATTAATTATGTGCTGTAATTATTGTTATTAGATTGATATAATATTGTTCTATTAACATTGCTGACATTGGAATGTATATAAAATAAATATAAAACATTTAAATAGAATAAACATTGAAGCACTATTCTTGCCTTTTTATTTATTTTTGAAACCTTATTCATTCTTAGTTAAACTGAATTTATGGCCTTTAATTTATAGTTTATGTTTAAAATGCTGTAGAACATTGCATTTTGCAAAGGAATAAGATACATTAAAAAGTATCTTATTCCTTTGCAAAATCGGCAAAATTCTAGGACATTGACGTTACGAGTGGAACAGCATGGCGACGAGCGTTTTCAGGCTAATATTTAGAACGATAGATTAAAAGTAATTTTATGGCACTTTTCGATTTAAAAAAATCCATATAAAAATTATAGTGATTCATTATCACTCTAGGGTTTTACGCTTTTTGAAAATAGGTGTAATATCCTATTTTTACTAATTAGTAGTAGTAGTTATGTATGTATGTATGTATGTATGTATGTATGTATGTATGTATGTAGTAGTTATGTATGCACTTAGTTTGCCTTTTTAATATATTTTCCTTTATGGGTCTAATGGAAGATATTTCAGCAAATAGAATTAGTAGAATCTTTGTACGAACTTACTATAAAACTGTTTCTCTATCTTGTTCACTGTACATAAATAAATAAAATATTTCATATTCCTTTCGTGAAATATTTTATCGACATATTTCATTACTATTATGTTACTTTTAAAATAAAGCTTAAAGTAAAAAGTAAAGTAAAGTTACAGCCTATATACGTCCCACTGCTGGGCACAGACCTCCTCTCATTTCTGAGAGGGTTTTAGGGCAAGGAAGTGTCCGCCGCGCTGCCCTAATGCGTGTTGGCGAACTTCACATGTCTTCGAAATATTTTTTCCTCGTTTATTTGACATACAGGTTTCCTCACGATGTTTTCCTTTATCGCCGAGCACGTAGTAAATCAGCAATTAAAATTACAATTAACGGTTTGCTCGCGTACTGTGAAATTTACAGCGATCGCTAACTATCCGAGCTACCATGGCTCTTAAACCATGACTAATAAAGCTTACTGATCATTTATCGTCGAGCTCCTCATTAAAATGATAGTTTTCCTGTTTCATCAGTATAGAATTCATTATGTACTGTCGTAAAAATATGCATATTCCTGAAGAGAGTTTTAAATAAAATACTTTATATAATATTTTCCATGTCATTTTTAATCAATAGATGTTTTTTTTTATAAAAGTACATAACTCATTTGTATAATTTCTCATTGTATTAATTGGATGTTATTTCCACTCCAAATTAAACCAATATAAAGAAAACTATTGGTAAATCTAAATGTGCGTGCCTTAGGCGCTCATTTCATACGTGAATTTTTTAAAATATTTTAAATACACACAAGTTTTCACAAGTAACCTTAACTATTACTTCTAATATATCTTTTTAGATATTTCTATGTCAAACGTCAATAAAAAAGTTTGGAAAATCTAAAAGTGCACGACTCATAATGATGAACATGATCGAGAAAAAATGTAGAAAAAAATTTCAATCAACAATAGAAAATATTTTTTTAATTTTACTATTTTATTATTATTGAAATCCATTTTTATTGTTAATTGAAAAAAAAACTTTTAACAGAATTATCTTAAAAAGACCAGAAATCAACTTTAATATTACTTTAATTTTTAGGTATTTATACTCAGGTATTATCGTGAAATAGAGATATTAATAGTTACTTTGCAACCATCCGCTCTGTTTAAATAAAATGATGTTCTTACCTAGGAAGAGCACCCCGCCCTCCCTCAATTGCGTGCACTAATCCCGTCACCACTAATCCCGTATCCCGTAACCTTTGTACGAAATTACTGTAAGATTGTTTCTGTGCCTTGTTGTGTAAGACAAGTTTTTACACCGTTTTTACTTAACATTAGATAACCGGAGACCCTTTTTTGGAAATGATATGTTATGGTTGTAGCACGTAGGAGTTGGCTTGACCCGACAAGGAGCACGGAGTGAATTAGCAGCTTAATGATGCTGTGTCATTAGTCGTTGACTTTAAATAGCAGTGATATTAATAATTACAGTACAATCTAAAAGGAAATGTTCGTCATAGTTTCTATAAAAAAATAGTCTGGACAACTAAATAGTATTGCCCTTATCTGTTTGGCTGAACATTTAAAATTGATACTGATTATAAGCCGCTCCAGTGGGTTATGAGTCTTTAGGAGTCTAATTCTAGATTATATATCAGATATCTGAAATTTCAATAAGATATTTATTAGATATCTGAAATTTCAGATGAAGTTGTTGAAAACATGTGGCTGCAACGCGATGGTGCTCCACCACACTGCGCTCGGCTGGTCCGAGAATAATTAAACCATCCAAACCCATACCCAAATCGGTGGATTGGTCAAGGTGGAACAATCCAATGGTGGCCATTGGATTGCTCGGATCTAAATCCGATACTTTTTTTGTGAGGTTACTAAAAAGAGATTGTGTACGAAAAAGAAAGCCACACAGTGCAAGGATTAAGAAATAAAATCGAGATAGCGAAAGAAAGTGTTAAACGCAACAGAAACGCATTCCGTGGGTTGCGACGTAATTTTATTAGACGATGTCGTATGAGCAGAATAGAGGAACGCATTTCGTACAATTGCTGTAACTAGATTTATTGTGTCGTTATTAAATAAAAATTTATGAATTATAACAGCTGTTTTTGACTATCCTCTGATTTAATTTAATTTAGACCATGCTATGAAAAAATTAACATAAAAAATTATTTATCTACAAACAGCTATGTGTTACACCTCGTTTTATTCGCCATGAAATAGGCAAGTTTTTTTTTTTTAAATAAAGGGTCACTTTTTATTACTACTTTTTTACAGCAAGGCTGCACTGTCATAAAAGCACATTTGTAGTAATGACACATCTCCTAGAAGCAACTGTGGCCGTGGAAGGAAAAGGGGAGATCTCCCGCCGGGCAAGGTGTTCTTGCCCGGGGAGCGGCCGACACTCCATGTGATAGTTCGGAGATGTTCTATATATGCTGTTTATGATTCGGAATGTTGATAGCGTGATTTAGGCTTCGGTATGTTTCGCTTGCGGCGCGACGACAGCGCCGCCACATCACCCCCTGCTCAGACCGAAGGTCGATAGTGCAGTCCGATTGCCGGTGTGTCCTTTTAATGCCGGTGGGGAATGCATGCTGTGTGCGTACGGGCAAGGGACACCGGTGCAAATGATGTGCCGATGTGTAACGCATGCCGTACTACGCACTGGCAAGTGATTCCGGTGAGAACGATGTGCCGGAGCAAGTGCCAGAAGTCTGCCTTATAAATCTGCGGTGAGTCGAGATGAAGACAAGTTGGACTGGCTTGCAGGAACTGAAGACTGAAGAAAACGATTCTCAATAGTGAATGGTAGGGGTGCTTGAGGATAATGACGAAAGCTTGAAGTTGTAGTTTCCGAAGGTGTTTGGTTGCGTGTTCAGATCACGTCGGGGTCACCACTGTGGCCGTGGAAGGAAAAGGGGAGATCTCCCGCCGGGCAAGGTGTTCTGCCCGGGGAGCGGCCGACACTCCATGTGATAGTTCGGAGATGTTCTATATATGCTGTTTATGATTCGGAATGTTGATAGCGTGATTTGGGCTTCGGTATGTTTCGCTTGCGGCGCGACGACAGTGCCGCCACACAACTAAACACCATTTATTGTTTTAAAATAGGTACCCATTTTACTCCAATGGCCTGTTTACTACAAATTTTGATTTTTCTTCAAAAAACACTCACAAATAGTCATAATTTTTAAGGAGATCAAGTAAGAGCTGTGCCATAGACATATTTTTGCAAATAACCCCAACTATTGCCCTGTTTCGTTTGATCCACGAATTTTTGCCCACCTGTATATAATTCCCCTTTACATAAATAAGTCTTGTATTTTTGCATCCTCCGGCTACAGCCTTGGTAATTTAATGATATCAAATAATAAACTAAAAAAAGGTTTTTATTTATATTTTATTGGCTAATGTAAATACGTAACGTAAGGACGCACATAAGTAAGTAATGTAAGGATATTCCGTTATATTATTTAAACTTGCTAACGCACCTGTATTTTAATTTCGGCTCTAACTGTGATAACAGCCTAAAATTAATTAATTTATATTTGTTTTAAAATTTACAGTAAAATTATTAATCTATATGTAATTAAAATTATTTATTAGA